TGCTGCTGCTGTTGATGTTGCTGCTAGTTAATTGACACCACCCCACACCCTAGCTGAACCCTACATGTAAACCCTAGACCACAACGCATGCAATCGCATAGGGGTCGGCTCTATACCAAAAGTGTCCCTGGGAAAAATCCAAATTGGACCGTATGTCTAAACTCGTTCAGGGGCATTATATAGGGGTCATACAGGGGAGTATGATGGGGTTATAAGGGGGCTACTAACCATAGCTTATGTACTGAATTGTACATGTACCCTTTCCTACTTTAAAAGCCTAGACCCTGCTGGCCCATCTTCCCAAGACCCAACCCTGTTACATTCGCCAGCCCAGGTTCTTCTTCATCGACGGCCCCAACCGTGATCACACCGCCTCCTCGGCGTGCCTTAGGCTGACCAGGATTGCAGAATGCATTCTTAACACATGTCTTCCTGGATCTACTGGGATCTTGGAATGATATAATTAAGGTGAGATGGTTTCCCCGCGGTCACCGATGTCAACATGCAAAATGAGGGGCGAGCACTACACGGTAAAGGGCGTTCTTAACAACCGTCCACATGGCGTAGAATGCATGATCTGTGGCTTGAAGGGGACCTTGGAAGAGGTAAGAAGCATGCCCTGCACCCCGCCAGACACACGATTCAATGGATCTTGCGTTCGCAGCCTGGACATGCAGCTGACACAGGAGAACCAGGCTGCCGCGGACTTTGCACGTAAAATGCAGGAAGATGAGGATCGAAGGTCAGCAAGCAGGTTGCAAGAACTTGAGTTAGAGGAGAGGGAGCTTAAAAAACTACTTGTGCTTCAAGAGCTTGAGGTAGAGGAAGCATTGCTGGCAGGGTTGCTCAATGAGAAGCGTGCGCTTCAAATTGCTGAGACAGCTGTTGCTGCCCTTGGGAAGCATGCAGGTGTATCTGCCCCCGAGGAACCTGCTTTGCTAAGGAAGCAGCATATGCAAGTAATGTCATCCCAAGGGTTGCCGCCAGCCGAGCCCTCGCCATTCCCGCCAACAGTTGGCAACAGCGCCTCAGCCGGTTTGCCTCCTTGTGCCTCTGACTAATTTAGGGTTAGGTTTCGCAGTGAGTAGCCATGCATGATGTGCATGAAAGCGTGTCCACCAGGCACCGATGACATGGACACTTGCCCATGGCCTATTGAAATGATGCAGGGACTTCCAGAGCCAGTGCCTTTTGACCCCAATGAGGTGGAGGATACCCTGGTAGTTGAGGATGAGCCCCAGGAGCCCCCCCGCAAGCCAGAAAAGGGCCAGAAGCACCATAGCACGACAATCGAGACTCAGCAGCAGCCCCTCGCCAAGCCGGCACAGCACCAGCAGCCCCAAGGTAGCTTGACAAGCAAGACTCAGCAGCAGCCGCCCACAAAGCCAGCAGAGCACCAGCAGCCCCAAGCCCTCTCAAGCAACACTCAGCAGCAGCCCTCGCCCACGGAGATAACGCCTGAGTGTGTAGTCAAGAGTCGCGAGGCCTGATGTTTAAATATCGCTTTGATTTTTAGGCTTGTGCCGTTGCATGGATTATAGCGTGATTCCTTATTCCTGCAAGGACGAGCTTCCACCATGTCCTGTGAAGCCTGAAGCAGCGATGACCCCAGAGCAGCAATCAAAACTTTCGGGGGCCCAGCCCAAAAAGAAAGGCAAGAACCAGCAGGTAGGTGCTACAGACATGAGTGAGCATGAAGCATCGGATGGAGAGGACAGCGATGCTGACAGCTCAGGAGGCACCAAGACCATGGCTGGGCGGGGGCGTGGGAGAGGCAGGGGTGGCCGAGGTGGAAGGGGCCGAGGTGGTCGGGGCAGAGGTGCCACAAAGGGTGAGGATGCGAATGATGAAACCCCCCGGGCAGCTTCCTCAAAGCGGAAGCAGGCTGGGGATGAAAAGGCCAAGGGCGACAAGCGCAGTCCTACTCCCAAAGCAAAGGCCAAAGCGAAGGCCAAAGCGAAAGCAACGGCAAAGGCCAAGACAACCGGCAGCAAAAAAAACAGTGCAAGCAAGGAGGCCCCAGCAAAGCTGACAAGGCAGGAAGCACGCGCCAACAAAACGCCTGAGGAGATTGCGAGAATGGAGAAGCTGTCTCGAAAGTCAGCTGCGTACCATCGAGCTAAAGTACAGGCCAAAGGGGAGGGATTGTCCCCTGAAGCGATCGTAGCTGCGGCCAAGAAGGCCGCCTAGCTGATAGCTAGTAACATGCATGGCAATAAATGACATGAGTACAACCAATATGCGTACAACCAAGGCCTACGCAGA